AGGAAGGAAGGAAGGAAGGAAGGAAGGAAGGAAGGAAGGAAGGAAGGAAGGAAGGAAGGAAGGAAGGAAGGAAGGAAGGAAGGAAGGAAGGAAGGGATGCCTAAAATAATTTGCATTGAAATGTACATATGTTAGGAGTCAAAATTTTTCTTGTGAGTAGTCTTAGATGAGGATCTTCTTACAACTGCTGACCAGACTCAGAAGAAAAGTCATCCTCTAATCCAAAGAACTGAAAATGCACTCACMCTGCCTGCAAAATCTGTAGGCAACAATTGAAGACTTTATGAGACAGTACTATTGACCTCAGTAACCTTACCTCCCTGTCACCCTTGTTAGTAAGGACGACCCTTGCAGATGACTCTGAAGCAATAAAATGCAGCAGCTTTGTTCTAATGCAGCAGGTATCTAAGCCTGGCTTCTCCCAAACGTGGTCACAGCCCAGGAGAGAGCGCAACATTGTGTGTTTGGAAACAACAACCTGGTGATGATGAAGCCATCATCTGGCCCTTTGTGACTAAAACTGTGCTTAAAATAATCGTTAGGTGCATCAGTAAATTTACAAAGAAAGCAAGAAATACTGGCAATTAAAAAAATGCATGTGATAAACAACAGATTTTTTAAATAGGTGATTATATTATTAAAAATAAAGAGTCTTCAGTTTGGAAAGAAAGAGGAAGCTGAGGGGTCTGCAAGATCATTAATTTCWTGAAGGAGACAAATTAGAAATTGCTATTCAAGTGTTCCTTGTAGCATAAGAACTTACAAAATTACTTTGAAGCACATACAAACTCTCAAAAGAGAAATGCYTTTTAAATGATCCCCAAGTAATTTGCAGATCTTACTGCCACGGAATGACTTGGCTCCCAAAATACAAGTGAGCTCCAAAAGTAGTTAGATAAATTAATGGTAAAGCAATTCACCCAAGCCACTCTGAACACCATGATGCAGATGCAGCCTCCTACTCAGAAAGTCCCTAAAAGTGTGCATAGTCAGAACTTAGGAGGCTGTACGAAAAGGAAGCATCTCTGAAAGCAGCCCTGATTATTTTCCTGATTAGCAGTTGGATAAAATCAGAGACATAATAATAGCAGCTAATTGTGTTTTGAAGGCATCTKTTGTGCTCTGGGCAGTTTTGGGTTAAGTTGTATTTGGTTTTTCCTGGAAGAATGTAGGTATGGTGTATGAAGTCAGGAAATGCAGAGCTGTAGAGGATCTTTGAGCAGTTAAGATTGGCACACCTTTCATATATRAAAGGCCTTGAGGTTCATATGGCTTCAAAAATGTGCAGTGATGATAAAAGCCCTGAAAACATTTTACATCTGGATTTGTATAAAACTTGGTCTTGCTAGTCTGTCTAAACTGGTTCATTGCTCTGGGTAGCGCCTTCATCCAGTGCAAGAAACTGTAATGAAACAAGAAGGGTTCCAAAAAATTACATTGATCAGCGCTCTACCATACGGTGTCCTCACTGGAGAGAGAGTTTTCCCCTGTGCAGGTAAAGGACTGGTGATGGCATTTCTTAGTGCCCTGAAATGTAGCAGTGCTCAGGCTGTGTGCAGCAGGCTCTGTGTAAGGCAGCCCACCAGGCTTTTTCACACTTTGTGGTGTGCAAATTATAAAATCAATCCAAAGGATGGCTTTYGCATGCTCCTTTGTCTGATGTGTCCCATCCCAGATGATGGAAGCACCTGTTGGTATCACTGCTRCTGTATTTGCTCTTGCCAAGTTGCACCTCGTGTACAAATGGAGAAGAAGATTTATTCTTCCAACACAAAAGAAAATGAAACTCTTTTCCCCCTTATTTTCCCCATCTTTTCTTCCATCCCAAAAGGATTGAAAATTCCACTTCTTCGATGTCTGCCTGTTATTTAAAAAAAAATAAATAACAAGGAAGTTGAAATGAAAGCAGTTAAAAGTCTGTGTAAAAATATCCCAACTGGTTTTCTGTTGACAGCCCTGGATGGTGGAAATGGTTTAGATTTGGCAGCGAGGTCCTTGTGGCTGCAGATGTGCAGCAGTGGACTTCAAAATGGTTACTTTGTGCATCTGAGCTTTGAAAATGTCAGACTGGAAATACTGGATTTAAGCTGGAGCTAATGTTGGATTTAATGTTGGATTTAATGTTGGACTTTAGTCCTGTATAAAAATAATTAAAAAAAAAAAWGTTCTAATTAATCCAGCCTTGTTACTTTGTAATTTCTGTCCTGACCAAGTGACTTCTGCAGGCACTGTTTAGTAACACAAATGTTTAATTTACAAATTATCAATGCATTTTGAGACTGAAAAAATTGTTGCTACTGTACGTTACTGCTCCTCTGCAACAGAATGCCCACCTGGAAAATGGCTCTCATCTGTCCTTTCACTGAATATATTTATGTATTAAATGATTGCTGGACTACTTGCCAAGCAGAATCTATTAGTTAAAATGCTCATTTTCACTTTGTGGCATTTCTTCCTCTGTTGCTCTTTTGTTATACTATGATAAGGATCATGATTAAAAATAAATACCATTTTAAAGTTTCAGAATGAAATGAAAACTTATATTCTTTGAAATACTTATTGCAAGTTTAAAAATACTTACTCTGATAAGTGCTCTTTAACTCAGATATCAGTATATGTCTGCAATCGTGATATAACTAAGCAGGAATATTATGTGGTAAGAATGTACAGTAGGTGACACCGCTGAAATAGGAAATGTTTCATATTTCTTGACATGATGAAAATGTCACTAGTGGCAAGCTTGTTGATTTTAGTTGCTAGAACTGAATTTTTCAGGAACAACATTTCTGAAATATGTAGTTATATAGAGACACGTTTGATATTTGACTGGATTTTTTGTTGCTATGATGGAAGTTTTATAATTGTAAGTGCAATTGCTTTAATTATTGAATTGTCTGTTCTATAAAAGTGTTTTCTTTAATTGGAATTAATTTGATACAGAATGATGCATGGGCATTTTTTTCCCAGTGTTTTAAAATGAATGCTTTTAAGAAGTCTATTTGTTTGCCTAACACAACACAGGAACATTGTAGGAAACTCACTATAAATTTTGTCTAATGCATGTTTTCCTTCACCAGATAGTTGCAGCACTAAAAATAATTTTGTTTGCCTTCTAATTAAGATAGTAATATTGCAGATATTGTGAATTTTGCATTCTCCCTTAATGGTCTGGACTTTACAGCTCTTCTGAATTGCCTGGAGTGGCTGCTGAAGAATAAATTGTAGCCTGACCGAGTGATAAACCTTGAGCAAAGCAACACAGATCCTTTACTGGTTTAGTGCTTGGATCAAATAAGTGATTTAATCAATTTACTGTGTAATGTATATGAATACAATTGTTTCATGAATATTGACAAAAATCTTTTTTAAACTTGCAGCAAGTAGTGGCAGCAATAAATGCAGGAATCATACCTTTAGGAAACACATCTGCTCAGATCAGTCACTGGGACTTGGGAAGTTCCTTCTTCTTTGCTGGCACTGTTATTACCACCATAGGTAGGACACAGCTTATTATCTTTTTATAGTCTATGAGCTGAAACTCTTTTGATTTCCAGTGTGTGCATATATTTGTAAATGGTAAATCTTCCAAATCATTTGTTTTAAGTAGAGAGTTACTTTCTGGCTGCAGAAATAATAGCTGTCTCTAAAAGAGCCCTAGCTAAGAGATTTTTCTGTAGGAAAAAAAAAATGTTGCTGTATGTTTCTGTCAGGTGACTGGAAGAGGTTGTGGAAACATTTCTGGGGGGAATTTGGTCAACTGTACAGTCACAAGTGTTAAATAGGGCATGATTTGAAGCACATGTGCATTAAACCTTGACTGAGATGTATRGAATTTAATATCTGTATACTCCTACTTGATACTGTTATGTTATCTAAATTCTGGAAGAGCCACTGTCCCTCAGAGCAGGTGTAAAAAGAAGCAGCATTTGGTATTTCAGTTTCTTCCTTTTGACTACAATGTTGTAGTTAAAAAGTGTAATGTAGCTCATGGCTCTCAAAAGGGGCATTCACAAAGATGGATGGAAATTTGGAGAAGAAATCATGAGAAAAAAAATTGAGACATGCATTATGAGAGTAATGTATGGAGTAAGGAATTGAGCATCTTTGCAATAATTATTGCTACATAATATTTACATGTATATTGTATGGCAGAGGATATTCTTTTCAAGCGTTGTCTGTACCTCTCTTTTTTCTTTTTGTAGAAGTGCATAAATACCATATTTTTGTGTGTTTGAGTTATAAATGTCTATATGTGTATGTATAAATATTGTGCCTGTCGAATATTTTTCTACATCAAGAATAACTGAAACACAGGTTTAGTAAAACAGTGAAACTCTTACCTTCTTGATTGGTAGCAAACTTAATGATTTTATAGTRGTAGCTCCTCAAGATGATAAAAACCCCCAAGTATTGAAAAATCTAACTAAAATTAGAGATTATAACCAAAAAAAATCAAGAACTTTGAAAGGATAGCTTTGTGATCAGTCTTACATTATATTCTTTGACAGTACTAAGCTTCATGTTGTAAGCATCCRTGGTCCTGTAGAAAGTGTATAAGAGTTATTTTGCTTCCCAATAAGGTTAAAAATTAACATATGAAAAGTGTTCAAGGAATTAAAAGTTCTAAAATCATTTTAAAGCAGCAGATCATTTTGTCTCACCATTTTTTCCCAAATAAAACTAAGGCTTTCCTACATCAAAATGTTTCCTGATTTAATTTATTGACCCGATTCTACCAAAATATATCTGAGTCCAGCTTAGAGGAGAGCAGGGGATCTGCAAAGGCATCCAGGCCTCTGATCCACTGTTCCCAAGAGGGAAGATAACCCAATAGGAAATACATTTGAAAATTACTATTTCAGGTCAGTTCTGCAAACCAGAGTTGTCAGAAGCAGGTCAAACTTGGCAACAGTAAATGCTTGCTTCAAGTTTTGTGATAGAAACCTGAGGAAAATAATAGATGAAAGAAGTATTCCATAAAATATTTTGGCTTTGGAGTGACTGGGGGCTTTTTCACCAGGAACCCTTTCTGATAGGGAGCTCCCAGTCAGTCGYACATTTGAGCATTTTTTGTCAGGGTCCAAGGACAGCACGTTTATGTGGAACTGTAGGGTGGTTGGCATTGTATTAATGCTGCAGTTCACAGGGCTCGTGGTGTGGCAGAAGGTGATGCCGTGGTGAGAAGCACTCAGAAAAGAGAAGGACCTGGGAAAATGGTGGGGGGCATAATGGCTGGGTGTGCTTTCCCTTATTCTTTGAGTATTCCCTCTTTCTTTATGTGCTAGCATCTGATTTTGTGTTCAGAACAGTATCTTTTTGTATATGAGTAACTTTGGAAAGTGAAGGCATTCCTTCCAATTTGGGGGCATATGATAATAATAATTCAATTTGTCAAGAGAGTCAAAATGTGGTTTATGAGCATCTCCAGAGAGCTGCCATAGGTTTCAGATAAATACTAAAGATCTCTATGGACAAAAACAGGACTGTATAGATTCMTAGAGCAACTTCACAGAAATAATTTGTAAATGAGAATTGATTGATATGAATAAAATCTGTAAAGATCATGTCCTTTAGACTGTGTACCCCAAGAAGTACTTGAATATGAGAGAAAGGATTACTGCCATTTAGAGACCATGATAGCTTTCCACTGTTACAGCAGATTTTGTAGCTGTCCAAACCTTTTATTACTCTAGTTTTACCATATCACTTAGCCCACAGTCTTCCTCGTGATATCTCAGAGTCTGAGACATTCAAATGGAACCGGTAGTCTATGAATAGAATTYCTGAAACCTTTCTTTAATGAAAGCAAAGCCTTTCTTTATTGGCAGTAGTACTTGCCTCCCACAAATATTTGGTTTCTGGGGAGAGAGGATAATAAATAAAGCCTTTAGCATCTGCCTAAGCAATAGGTTATTGTTTTGCAGTTACTGTCATTGCCATATCCCAGCAGTGTCAAATATTGACATGAAAAATACTGACTGACTGTTTGGGTGGCTGTTGGCAGYAGACTAGGACCATCTTCTGGATCTCCTGTAGGTTTCTGGAAGGCASTCTGATGGTGCCATTATGTCTAGAGAGTTCCAAAGCCAGCATACAAAAGCAGAGGCAGAAAACATGGCTTGGTATTTATATAACATTTTTTGCAGTCTCTTACAACCTTTCATGCTACCCAATAAATATTACAGTGCATAATATAACATTAGTAAAATCAGTTTGGATAGAATATGATGTGATGCTGCCACAAGATCTTTCCTAAGAGGTGGATTTAGTTCAGATTCAGGATAAAACAATTTCACAAAGCTTTATTAAGGACAGATCCTTGTTTTTAGCTTTGTATTTATTACTGTGCTACAGCATAGAACTAGTTTCAGGAGGAGCCCTCACTGGTTATAGCTTTGACTGGGTTATTTAGGAGTTCTTGCTTGTGAATATGTTTTCAGAACAAGTGTACCTCATCTCAACAAAGAAATGTGAAATTACATGATTATTAGTCTGYGCTTATGGAATGGTTTCAGACAGTCTCAAATAAGGAAAAGGGTAGCGGAGGGAAATAGGAATATGAAATTATCTGTGAAAAATATTGTTGCATTGTTCCCTGGGATACTGTGCTTGCTGCAAAGTACAAAAGAACCTCTTTTTGTCTACCTGAAAATGTCATTATCCAGTCAGTCCTGTTCTAAGACCACATGACCAAAGAAAAGAAAAAAGAAGGTTGAGGAGAAAAGCAAGAAAAATGGTAACTTAATCATAAAGCTGGAGACAGTGCTGAGGGGGAGAGGGAAATAACCTTTATGTCTTGTCTGTTTATTCTGAGAGCCCATTTGCTGGCACTGTACATGATTTGTAACCTCGGGATCATTTCCTTCAATAGATAGCTGAACTCAGATATGGGCATACAGACACAACCTGTACATACCCCACTTCTCTCCTGACTTACATTTTAAGGGTGGGGAAAGCTTTGTACTGGYACCAGGGTAGAAAGGCAGCCCTGTCATCTTGAAGCTTGAGATCTGTACTGAGAAAGATGAAAAGATGAAGTAGAATGCCAAGGCCTTGAGCTCAGCAGCTGTTTTCCCAGATGTCTCAGCACCTAAAAAATGTAATGTCCCCTGTAATATCAGAAACTGCATCACGAGAACCTCCACTGGACCGCCATGGGTCTTYATCTGACAGAGCTGTGTTATTTCCACTCTTATTCCAGCCAGGCTATAATGACTTTTTCAAGCACTGCAAGTAGACATAAGGTGGGAAGAGTATTTATTGAGCCTCCTGGAGGATGGAGTGTCTTGGATGGCAGTTGAGAGCACGTTGGGAGTGCCAGCAACCTCGCTGGGAGCTGTGGTTTGCCAGAGCACATCTTTTCAAACAGAGTCTTTTAATGCCTTAGCACTCGGGGATGAATTGCAGCCCTGGTGAGGTCCAAATACAGCAGCTGCTAAAAGCTRTGTCTACAAATCAAAGGAAGAACATATCATTTCTATTTATCCTTTTACCACTTTTTTTGTCACCAGCCCTTGATTTTTGAACCCAAACTTCTCGTGTTCTCTTGAAATGGAACCTCTTGTAAAATTCACTCCTGACTGAAGTTTTTAATTCAGGTTCATGTATGTATATGTGGCAATATGGGGTTTTGGGGTCCAAAAGCCTAGCAACCATTATTAAAGTGTAAAAAAGGATAAATATTTACACTGTAGGGAGCAGATGTGAATAACAAGCAGCTAAGATGCCAAAAAATAGATTTATATTTTGACTAGAAATTTCAACCTGATTTGTCATTTTTAAAGCTGCAATTAGTTATGTAGCTTCAAATGTGATTTCACTGCAAGAAATCAYTCCTTCTGTCATTTTCTTACTGCCTGGACACAAGGTTTGCTTATGAAGGCAGGGTATTTTAAAAAGTATTATTACATTGCTCATTGATTTGAAACAATAATAAAATCCTGCTGCTAAAACTGTCCCTTCTGGCACAATTCCACTGCATTTTTGAAATACAAGGTAACAGAATAATGTGCTGACAACTAAAATATACAAAATACTTTTGACGTTATAAAAAGAAAAATATTGTTCATAATCAGATGCTTTACCTATTATGTCAGATAATCATAAAGATAAAAAAGTGCAAATGACATTGGAAAATTTGTTCTCCTAGTTCAAAAAAGTGAGAAACATCACACACTTGTGTTAGAACTTTTTTTTTKTTGTTTATGTCACCAAAGAAGAAACAAAGCTTTTGAGGATGAGCATAAAAGTTTCATTTTAAAAGATTGCAGCTTATCAGAATATAAATACTTGGATTTCTGTTGGTGCGTTGGTAAAGGAACAGAGAAGAAGCAAGCAATAGAAAGYGAGTGCAAATTCTGAGGTGATTGAGGAGGGGTTTGGAGAAAAATCCCTGAAGTTAAAAAAAACATAAAATACATTTGCCTGGAAAATATTTTGATATGTGGCTTTCCTCCATCATATCTGCAATCAAATCAGCATTTGGGTCCATGACT